GCAGCCCCTGAGTTTAGGGGTTGGAGTGGACACAGCAAGGCAGACAGGTGTAGGACTTGTTGGCAGCACCAGGGGGCAGCACCTGCTCACCTGTTTCCACAGAACCAGGCCCCAGAACGCTGTTTGTGCAGCCTGGACACTCAGGCACAGGAGGCACCTTCTCTTAGCAGTCTGTGCAGTGAACTAATGCTCCAAACAGGGCCAACCTTGGGACCTGCTCCAGGGTGCCTGTGTGGGGGCCACTGGCTTGGGACAGCCTGCTGGGGACTGGCCCCGTGGGGGCCACTGGCCTGGGACAGCCTGCTGGGGACTGGCCCTGTGGGGGCCGTTGGCCTGGGACAGCCTGCTGGGGACTGGCCCTGTGGGGGCCGTTGGCCTGGGACAGCCTGCTGGGGACTGGCCCTGTGGGGGCCGTTGGCCTGGGACAGCCTGCTGGGGACTGGCCCTGTGGGGGCCGTTGGTGGGACAGCCTGCTGGGGACTGGCCCTATGGGGGCCGTTGGTGGGACAGCCTGCTGGGGACTGGCCCCGTGGGAGCCGTTGGCCTGGGACAGCCTGCTGGGGACTGGCCCCGTGGGAGCCGTTGGCCTGGGACAGCCTGCTGGGGACTGGCCCCGTGGGAGCCGTTGGTGGGACAGCCTGCTGGGGACTGGCCCCGTGGGAGCCGTTGGCCTGGGACAGCCTGCTGGGGACTGGCCCTGTGGGGGCCGTTGGCCTGGGACAGCCTGCTGGGGACTGGCCCTGTGGGGGCCGTTGGCCTGGGACAGCCTGCTGGGGACTGGCCCTGTGGGGGCCGCTGGCCTGGGACAGCCTGCTGGGGACTGGCCCTGTGGGGGCCGCTGGCCTGGGACAGCCTGCTGGGGACTGGCCCTGTGGGGGCCGCTGGCCTGGGACAGCCTGCTGGGGACTGGCCCTGTGGGGGCCGTTGGTGGGACAGCCTGCTGGGGACTGGCCCTGTGGGGGCCGTTGGTGGGACAGCCTGCTGGGGACTGGCCCTGGCCTGGCCAGCGCTTCTGCAACCTTGCCCTTTTACTCTTCCCTTTAATTGTCAGCAGATGAGATTGTCACAAGTTTAGGGACTTGTTCCTCTGGCTAAGACTTCCCACTTCAGAAACCATTCCAGAGACAGTCTGTAGGTTGTTTATATCAAGTCCTTTTATTCTGATACCACAGAATTACCTTGTCACAATACAGGGGAAGGGACGCTGAAGTACCACGAGTTCTCACAGAGCACAGGAGGACGCACACATTTCACAGGGTCATGTGGAGGACTCGGGTCATTGCACTTACAACTGTAAACTTGTTTGTTTGACTTTGTACAGCACTCTTCCCCCCTCAAATAAAGAAGGAGAGAAGGAAGGAAAGGGAGGGAGGGAGGAGGGAGGGAAAGCGAAAACAAGACATGGAAGCCAGCGGAGGGAAGGCGCGGGCGGCACCACCCTCCAGGCCCTGCGCCTGGAGAGAGGAGCTGATTGATCCCAGAGGCTGGATGAGGCGGACGCACACACCCACTCACACTTGTTCACATGCATACACACAGTATGTCACGACTTCCACGGCTCTCCAGGGCCACCCAGTGCAAATGGCAGCAGGGCTGCAGGGACCCAGGGAGACAGAGGTGACATCTCTGAGGAGTTTCAGTTGACCAGGCCTGTCACTCTGACCCTGTCAGAGTCCACAATGACAAGTATTTACAAAATGGGGGGAGGAGAACACAAGAGCAGGCAGGGGCCAGGACCATGCTGCCATGGCAAAGGACCTGCCTGGAAAACTCCCCACAGGCTCCAGAAGACAGGCCATAGTTGCCATTGCTGCCCTCTCAGCATAGGCCCTGAGACCACACTCTTCCCGAGGACTAAGCAGATGGTGGGCAAGGGGTGGTGTCACTGCAAAGTGAGTGTATTGGGCCCTGGAGTGGGCAAAGGAGGCAATGCCCTTGCTTATGACCCTGGGAGGTGGGTATGGAGGAGGCCTGAACTGCATCCCAGGGCCCCTTGCCTATTTGGAGATGTGCTTGATGTTCCCCATTGCCCACGGCACCGAATGTTGGTCCCTTAGCTCCTGGCTGCAGTACCCCAGAGCCACAGCTGCATCTACACAAGGGCCAGGACACCCACGGCCCAGGGGCCTGCTCCAGCCACCTGGAATGAGGTGTGCAGATGTGTCCTGTGGGTGCGCTGGAAGGTGGGGAGTGACAGATGTCAGAAATTTCTAACTCAGAGGGCTTGGCCAGAAAGGAAATTTGCTGAAAAGTTAGTATCTTAGAGCCTGAAGCTGGGTCTGATAGAGGCTGACCTGTCATCTCCCTGGCTTCCCTGGCTTTGAATGGGAAGGATGACTGCCTTGGGCCCCCATGTATCCAGCCACTAGGCACACCCCCGTACAGACCTGGCCCTGGGTGGTTGCAGGTGATGCATGGTGGCCTCCTTCAGCCCTTGCTCAGATAGCCTCACATAGCCCAGGACTGATCTCAGATGAAGCAGGTGTCCCATGGGATGTGAGGCCCAAATCCTGGAGGATCAGGGTCTCAGGCCCAACAAAGAGATTGACAGCTTCCTGTCCCACCCCAAACCGCCAGAGGTGTGCCAGGATCCCTCTCTGAAGGGCTGTGTAGACCTTTTAGGAAAGCATGAAAATGTGACCCTGAGAAATGCATGGTGCAAACCAGAGCACTGTGGAGGAAGGCCAGGCCTTGAGGGGTCGGGCAGCCGCTGCCTGCTGCACTCCTGGCTCAGTCGGAAAGAAGCTGATGAGCAGCCAGATGCTTGGGCTTCAGAGATGAGGGTGGGCAGGGAGTTTAGGTCCTGGGGACAGAGGCAGAGAGAGTCACAATAGGACTTTCTCTAAGTTTTGCTATTGAGAAGCCTCCCAAGAAATTCAGCTTGAGGCCACTATCCATGTTAACACCTGCTCTGGTCCAAGATGACATTCCCAGCTGTCCTCACAAGTGCCAGATGTTTAGCTCTTCCTGAGTGCTCTTTGATCCTCTGGAGCCATCTCTTGGCTCACAGATCTTTGAGCCTCCCAGCCACAGAGGAGAGGCATGGAGTGGGTAGTCGGGAGCTGGGTCCCTAGGACACAGCAAGGCCTTGCTCTTACCCTTGGCCTGTCCGTCTGGCCACAAATGCAGCCCAGCTCTGCCATTGAGCAGTGCACCACTGTATAGGGTTAATCAGATGCCTCTGGTTCAGGCTGGGGTGAGAGGGGGAGCCATTTACAGATGGAAACCTTCAGAATGTCACAGAAACCTTCTGAATGTGAACACACACATCTTATGCAGGCCTCACTAGCGTGTCCACTCCAGAGACTGCTTTTCACCTGCCATCTTGGTCAGAGAAACTTGCAGGGCATGTGGGGCCTTGCACTGCCTGCCCACAGCCTGGCACGCTCGGGCAACAATTCCAACAGGTCCTCACTAGCTCGTGCAGAAGTCAGCTAGAAGCGCTCCTGAAGGAGAGGTTCTGAGGCAAAAAGAACTCCAAGCAAGAGGGTCGAGCGTTTAAAATGGATGAAGTCGTGCAAAGAGGCTGCGAGCTGTGCATGCTCCACTGCGGGATGGGCAGTGGCTCGCCAGGCATCAGCGAGTCCTGCCACAGGTCAAACATGCCACAGACTGAGAATTTCACGCACACAGTGGGAGCGGGATGGGCTGGGGGGTTTGATATGAGTGTATCTATCCAGTTTCTCAATTGCATGTTTGCAATTAACTCCTTATACATAACATGGAATTTATTAAATATTAACAGTTGTCTTTGAGGGTTTATATTTCATTGCATAGAACGTTAGAGATGAGACTTGTGGCTGTGCCCAAAGGGGAGGGCCTTGGAGAGGAATGCCGCCCAGTCCACAAGTGGATGGATGGTGCCATGCTCCCCAACACAGGGCTCGGGTCCTTCCTTTGGCTGGCAGAAGCCCTGGCCCCTCTGCTCTGAGCATGCTCACTGGTGATGGCTTAAGGACTGGAATTGCACAGTAAACAGGTGGGCTGAGGGGCCTCCCTAGACCTCGCCCTGGGGTTGTGCTCTTGGTGGCCTGCTGCCCACTATTGCTTCTAAGTCAACATTCTCCCTGTGCTGAGCAGGGGCAGAGCAGAGAGGAAACCAAACCATCAGTCACAAGGGGTGGGGGAGGGGAGGAGAATCGAGGAGGTGAGCAAAGAGAAGAGACAAAGGGGAGGAGAAACAAAAGAAAAATGTTTATGAGGTATACACATAAATCAAACTGAAATGATTAAGGCTGTTCTTGAAATCAAAAGAAATCCCCAGGTGTAAGAAGGAGGAGCCGGCTGGTGGAGACAATGGCGATGCCACTGGGGTGCTCATGATGGCTGGGGGAATGGCTTTGAGATGGTGGCCAGCGTGCTAGTGCACTGCCACCCATGGGCCGGGAGAAGCCTCAGCCAGTGCCCACGCTGCTTTTCGGTGCTATGGCCTCTTATTTCAGCAATGAGACAGTGTTAGGTCCTAATGTTTGTAAAGTTCTCCCAACCCCACAATAGCCACATGGAAGTCTGCTCCAATGTCACCGAGAGGGCAGGGTGAGGGGGCAGGACCCTGTGGCCACAGAGGGAGCCGGGCCAGCTGGAATGTGAAGGAAACGGAGCCCAGGGCCCCCAGCCCTCAGTCAAAGCCCCTCTCCAAGGCTGTGGAAAAACTTCTGGCATCGTGGAGGAAGGGCAGCGTCCGTCAAAAACAGGCAGCGTCCGCCCAAACTCTGCGTATAACGCAAGGGAAGCCTGGCTGGCCAGGCCGCAGAAGGCGGCTGTGGGAAGAGCAGCGAGGCTGCGCACGGCAGGGTTTCCAAAGAAGGCTCCTCCCTCCCAACCCCGGCTAAGCCTGGAAGGTGGCACCCTGAGGAGAGCGGGGTCTCTGGAAAGACAATCACAGGTCCCCCGGGCCAGTGGTCCCACTTGTCCAGCAGACGCATCACCCAGGCAGCTGCTGTTAGAAAACATCCCGCCTCAACTGAGGCTTCCGCCACGTCCCACCTGGTGAGTCCATGTGCCAAGCGTTCGCCAGATTATAGATGCTTGGAGGCGAAAAGGGCAGAGGCAGGAAGGAAAGAGGGAAGGAGAGAAAGAAGGATTTTGTCAAGAGCTGTGGACAGCTGCTTCCCACCCGCACGCCTCTCAGTCGTCTGCCACAGGCCGACAGCCTCCTCCTCCTCGGGCTCAGGACCCCACCCACTGAGGCTTGGGGGGACGGGTGCTTGGGCAGTTTTGAGGTCACAAAGAGAAAGATGGGAAGAAAGAAGAATCAGGTGGGCCAGGAAGGGACATTTCTTTAACATAACAGAAACTGATTTTTGTTCTGCCGAAGAGTGAGAGAGAGGAGATTTTGTTTCAAATGGCAAGCCTCTCCCAACTCGCTTGTAAAAGGCAGCAGGACATGGACACGCATAGAAGTGCTGCCTGTTTGGCCCATCATTGGCCTAATGTCAGAACTGAAGGGCTATTTCCTTAACTACAAAGTGAGTGGTCTCAGTGGCCCCCCCATGTCATGTGGCAGGACACAGAATAAAGCCATGACTGTTGTTCCTTTCCCTTCCCAGTGATAGAGCCCCAGCCCTAAACCCAAGGTGGGCACTGCCTTGAACCTGGCCATGGGCTGCCCCTCCCCTCAGCACAACTTCTGATGTCACATGTGTTCCTGGGCAACTCCGAGGAGACATCCGGCTGAGCAGGAAAGTGGCAGGGAGCCCGCTGTCGTGGGGTGAAGACGGGAAGAACACTGGGGGTGCTGCGCTGTGGCTACTGTAATTAGAATACATTCCGGGCTCTTTACTTTGGCCCCCAAAGCCCACCCCGGCTGGCTCCCGCTCCCTTACCAGCTCTCCCCTGCACTGTGACTCTGGCCGTGTGGCCTTCTGTCTGTCCCTGAAGCCCACCGGTCATGTCCAGCAGCAGTCTCTGTTGCTGCTATTCCCTCACCTGGCACCCCCGCAGCAGCCTCTCCTCGAGGCTTACCTCGCCCTGACCACTCTCTCTACAGCGACCCTTCTGCCCCAGAACCCCGCTTCATGGGCTTAGTCATAGCACTTAATCATCTTCAAAAATTACCTTTTTAATTTAATTTTTATTTTTTAACTTATTTATTCTCTGTCCCACTCAGTGGACTGTCAGCTTCAGAGGGTTTTGTTCCCTGCTGTATCCCCTGCACCTGGAACAGGGCCCAGCCCCTAGCTAGGGCTTGACAACCATTTATGGAATAAACGAGTAAGTGGATGGAAGACTGACCCTTCCAGTCCCTACTGTTCCTCCAGAGACAGGCAGTCCCTTCCCACCAGCAGGACTGGCCACAGGGCTCCCTTCTGACTTGCTTGCTGACCTGGCCCTGCCACACCTGCCTGCCATGAGAAGCACCCCGACCTCTATGCTCCTAACCTGAGAAGTGGCAAAGAGTGAGGAGGAGCGCCCAGGTCCAGGGACGGGGGTTGGGGGGGTGCTGGTGGACAGAGCAGCACCAACAGCCAGGCCGTCCTCTCTGGCACCCTGAGAGCCATCCCACCCCCCACAGAGGCAGGCCCAAGGCCAGAGAAGGCTCTAGTAGGAGGCATCTCATCCTGCCTTGGCCACTGTAGTCAGGTCAGCCAGAGCTCCGGTCCTGAGGTCCTTCTGCTCTGTCCTTGGGCTGACCTGGGAGTGAGACTACTGGTCCCGGTGACTCCCTTTTCTCTCTGTCCTTTTCCTGTCATTCTGTTCTTCTTTCTCGTGGGTCACGAGCTCAGCCTCTGAAGCCAGCAGCGTATCGACCACATGCTCAGGGGTCTTTGCACAGCTATAGGAAGCCCACCAGGGCCCTCCTGGTGCACACTTGTAGGAACTGGGTGGCCCTTCACCCCCTCCTCTGCCCACCACACCCTGGTCCCGACTCACTGTTATACGCAGAGTCCAGAGCTGCGCCCAGGCCCCTGACTCCAGAGATTTTTCCACAGCAATGACATCCTCTCCCTTCATCTCTTCACGAGCCTGGGGAGCATGTGCAGAGGAGGGTTGGGAGGAACTGTATCCCAGCCCCCCTCCCCCACCTAATGCCACCTCTTAACTGGGAGAGCCCTGTGGGGGACAGGGGATGGTGGAGAAAGACAAGGGGGTGGGAGCCCTGGCTTCCCTTTGCTGGGGACCTCTACTGAGCTGGCCCCAGGTTGGGGCCTCTGTGCACAGGGTCCCTCCTTTTCCTCCTCCTCCTCCCACACTCATAGGGGAGGACACTATAGCTCTGGCCACACCACCTGCCGCTGAAGCCGACTCCTCCCAGAGGACCCGTCAGGACCAGAGCACCCACAGGAGCACTTGGGCCTTTCCCAGGGGAGGCTGGGTACAAGTGCTCATACTCACCCTTCAGGGCATGGTCACCAGAATGAGGAGAATTTTTTGCCAAAAGCAGAGACGGCTGTGACATAGAAAAGGAGAAAGGCATCAAAAAGTTGAACCAGACTCCCTCCTAGTCAGGGGTCGTTTGGCATAGTGAAGCCAAGCTTGGCCTGAGAACCACAGGCTGGCCTGGGCCCGAGTGACCGAGCCTGGAGTCATCCCCAGACCCAGCCTCTGCTGAGCAGGGCCCCGGAGCAGCCGCCCGCTGGTGGACCCGGCCGTAGGCAGTGCTCACCTTCTGTTAGCTTGCCGGCCTGCTCTGCGGCCCCACCGGGGAGGATCTTGGAGAATACACTCTCCCCATCGGCACCTGGCTGGCCAGCAGGAGCCCCTTGGGCCCCTCCAGGCCTGGCTGCAGCTTTCAAGCCTACAGGAAAAAAAACACCATCATGAGTCAAGCTTGACCTGGCTCTTTAAGCTCTGAGTGGGAGAATAGCCATGAGAGTATGTGAACACAAGTGCCCAGTGAGGAGGGAGGTTGAGGAGGGAGGAATGAAAAGAGGAAGATGAGCCCTGGCCGGTTTGGCTCAGCGGTTAGAGCGTCGGCCTGCGGTCCGGAGAGACCCAGGTTCGGTTCCCGCTAAGGGCACGTACCTTGGTTGCAGTTTGTCCCCAGCCCTGGTTGGGTCGTGTGGGTGGCAACCACTCGATGTGTCGCTTTCACGTTGATGTTTCTCTCTCTCTCTCTCTCCCCCTCTCCCTCTATCTGAACAAAATATCGAAAAATGTCCTCTGGTGAGGATTTAAAAAAAAAAGAAAAGAGGAAGATGAGCCCTGGCTGGTTTGGCTCAGCGGTTAGAGCATTGACCCTCAGACCGAGAGGTTGTGGGTTCGAGTCCCAGTCAAGGGCACGTGCCTGGGTTGCAGATTCGATCCCTGGCCCCCGCTGGGGTCATGTGGGAGGTAACTAATCAATATGTCTCTTTCACATCAATGTTCCCCCCCCTTTATTCTATCTAAAAAATCACTGGAAAAATATCCTCGGGTGAGAATTAATAACAACAACAACGAAACAAAATTTAAAAAAAGAGGAGGAAAAAACAGGAAGAAAAGAGGTGGGAAGAAGTAGAAAAAAAGGTAGTTGAAGAAGGTAAAGAAGGAGAAAGGGTGAAAAAGGTGGAGGAGGATGAGAAGCCAGAAAAGAGGAGACAGCAGGAGAGGGTGGAGTCAGCGCTGGCCCTGTGCTCACCAGTCCCTTGCAGGTTCCCTGCGGAGAGCTGCCTGGGCTGTGAGCTCCAGTGCTGGCGACCCCCTCGCTCATTCTATCACCAGCCTCATTCTCTGCTGGGGAGCAGTGCGGGCATGCAGTGCAGGGGAGCTAAGGGCACTGGTGCACATGGGGAGAGAGCAGCCCAGGTTCTCCGGGTCACAGTCGAGGACACCAAAGGGTAGGCTCACCTGCAGGTCCAGGTCCTGGTGGTGGCTGAGCCTGAGGAGTCCTCCCCTGCTGGGGTGCTTTGGCTGCCCCTTTAGAGCCATTTGTCTGCTCTGCCCGTGGCTGCAACACAAAACCCATAGCTGACATACTGCCCGTCGACTGCCCATGCCCAGCCTGGAACCAAGGGGATGTCCAAGCTGCAGCTGCAGCATCTGCTCTGGGTAGGATCCATGCACTGGAGCCCTACTTACCAGTCCTGCTGGCTGGGGGCCTGTGGCTGTCGTGGGGCCTGGCTGAGGCTTCCCTGCTGGCTGGCTGGCAGCAGGGGCTGGGCCCCGGGCAGTTGGCTGGCCCTGCTGCTGCAGCCGAGCCTGTGATGGGGTCTGCTGGGAGGGCTGTAGCCCGTGACCTTGCTGCTGCTGCTGCTGCTGCTGCTGCTGCTGCTGTGGCTGCGGCTGGCGCGATGCTGTTGCTGAGGGGGTCTGCCTGGATGGTGGCGGCTGTGACTGCTGTGGCCCTGGAGGTGCCTGTCGGCCCTGTGGCTGTGGCTGCGGCTGGGGTTCTGGCTTTGGCTGCAGTGCAGTGGGCCCCGAGTGGGCCTGCCGGGAGCCCTTCTTGCTGTCAGAGGCATGATGGTATGCTGACGGAACGCGGGATGGCTGTGAGTAGTCAGCGGAGCTGGGGTACCCAGGCTGACCCTTCTTCTGCATGGCCGGGGCAGGGCTGGGCTGAGGGTGAGGCCGAGCCTCATGGCGTCCCAGGTCCCGAACGTGTGGTTTGGTAGCACGCCGGCCCGGCTCCTCGCCAGCATGGCGGCCTGAGTGCCGCCCATGGTCACTGTGGTGTCGATGTTCCTTAGCTGAGGTGTGGCGGCCCGGGCCACCCTCATCATGTGGCCACAGGCCCTCTTCCGGGGGTTCCTCGTAGTCATGGTAGCTGTGCCTGGCAGGGCCTCGCTTCTGGGAGGAGGAGACTGTGTGGCCCCCGTGGTGCCTGAACCGGTCAGAGCGGGCCTCCCGAGGCTTATCGAACCAGTCTGTCTCCTCCTGGCCCAGGTGATATGCTTCAGAGACCGAAAATAGAACACTATCAGCCCCCGAGTTGGCCGCAGGGGTGGAGGGGCCTAGCTGAAGCCATGCAAAGCTACAGCAGTGAGCATCACAGCCACAAGCATAACACAGGCCTCTGCCCACCCTCCCTCAGCCAGGGCCAGGGAGAGGGCGGAGAAGGCAGAGCCCACGGCATGAGGCACCAGGTCATGACCCACTGGGACATCTTGGGGCCCAGGACCCCGTGGGCAGGAGGGCCCCCAGGTGCCGAGCATCTGCAGAAATCACCCCCAGCTGCCATTACCTTCACTGTCGGAAACCACGCAGTGGGAATCATCCAGGATGTAGCCTTCCTCACGCTTGTATGCGTGGGCCCGCGAGCTGTCCTTGACATGTTCCTGGACATCGGGCATGGAGTGGCTGGAGCAGAACTGCGGGCAGGTGTCTCCAGGAGGGAGGGTGCCCCCAGCAGGGCGGGGCCGTCCCAAGGGGCTGACAGGGCTCTCCTCTTCAGAGGCCTGGCTCCGCATGGGGGGCCGGGCCCTACTGTGGGCCATGCTCAGGGATGAGGGCTTGGGGCCTGCTTTTTGAAGTCGCTCCACAGTTTCCCGTTCCCGCTCGTATCCCTTGCCCCGGCCACCGAAGTCATGGCTGGACAACTTCTCCCCACTGTACGCAGCTGCCACCCGGGATCGGCTGCTCCCACTGTACATGCGGTCATCCTCCTCTACCGGGTCCCGGCTGGACACCCCATAGTACCTCTGCTGCTCATACACGTTCTTCTTGAGCCCATACGTGATTTCATCCTGGAACTTCCTGCCCCGAGAGGCCAGGCCACTGCTGACTGCAGGGGAAGGGTAGGAGGCCAGGTCTGACTCCACATCCTTGGCTTCTTCAATAGGCGAGAACTTGGAGATCTTTTGCTCCATGCCCTGCTTCCGGTGCTTGCTGCGTTTTGAGGAGATGGCAGCTGGCGCCAGGCTCTTGGAGGGATGCTTGGGCCCCATGGGGCCTGGACCATACTTCTCTGCTCGAGCCCCATGGCGGTAGTCGCTCTCACCGTAGTACTGGGTGCTGGTTGGTCGACCATCGCTCTCCATGCTCCGGTGATGGCCGCTCTTCCCACGGGGATCATAAGAGTCTTCCTCGGACTCTTCCTCCCCTCGGGCATAGCAGCAGGGCAGTGTGGACCCCTCTAGGACACCTGGCTCTCCTGGCTCTTTCCCTGGACGTCCACTGCTGCTCGGCCCCAGGGCCTCCAGTCGCTGGCTATCAGGGACAGTGGAGGTGCTGTCCTTGGTCAGCTCACTGATGTCGTCAATCATTACATAGTTCCGAGGGACGTTCTGCTCCAAGCTGGTGTAGTGTGAGTCAGAGGGGAAGGTGGGGGCTGGGCTCATGCTGCTGCGGTCGCTGGCCCGAGACAGCTCAGGGGCCTTGCTTTGCTCATAGCTGCTGCTTACCGCTGAGCCACTGTAGCTGGTTTCAGATGGGGCTGAAGACATGGCCACGGCGGGGCTGGCGATCACTTCATAGTTGGTGGGCACCTTCTGCTCCAAGTCGGCTAGTGATGTCTGGCGTGGCTTCTGGTGGGGGGTGCGGCTGTCAGCTGGGACCGGGAAAAGGGTGCTCTGTGTAGTTGGCATGGGTGTTTGGGCTGCATAATGGCCTGTGGGACGGAAAGCCTGCTGGCTTGGCAGACCAGGCTCAGCAGGGTAACTGGTGCCAGGAGGAAAGGCAGGTGCTGGGTACGTGCCGGGGCCAGGGTAGGTGGGTGCTTGGTGGGCTGGGAATCCATTTGGAGCTGGCCCACCACTGCCTGCAGGGTACTGCGGGGCCGGAGGTGTGAACCGGGGCTGCTGGAAGGCAGTGGGGCCCGCAGGGGTGGCGGGAGCAGCGGCAGTGGCAGTGAAATCTGCATACTGGCCAGGAGTGGCACAGCCCTGGAGCCGCAGCTGGTTGAGCTCACTGTCCGATAGGTAGTCACGATGCTCACCGAGACCACGCAAGGGTGGGTAGTCGCGGCCACCCCGGTCTTTGGCCAAAGACTCTTTGCGCTGTGTGATGCCCAGCTCCAGGTACTTGAGCTTGGCATCAATCTCCTTCTCCTCCTCGTCCAGCTCTGCCTGCTTCTTGCGCAGCTTGGTGGACTCATGTTCCACCAGCCGCAGGTCCCGGTCCAGCTCCCGGAGCAGACTGGCCTTGGTGGCAGGGACAGCGGTGGGCCCCGCCAGCCCACGCTGCAGCAGGCTGGCCGCATACAGCTGTGGGGGGGCCTGGCCAGCCAGGGGCAGATGAGCCTCCTCTGGAGGAGGGCTGGGCAGTGTCCGCTTCACCTTGCGGACCAGGCCGTTGGGTGGCAGCGCCGACACCTGAGACAGAGGGAAGGGCGGGCAGCACTGAGACCCAAGGTGTGGGTGGCTTGGCGGGGCACAGGGTAGAAGAGCCCTGGCTTTGGCTGGGGTAGGGGCTGGGTTCCATACTGTCGGTGCCCTGATTTACCAGGCAGCCTCAAGGCCTGCCTGGCCCACCCACTGCCTCTGATCATTTTACAAGCCTTCTCCTTCCCAGTGCTCTGGGCCATAGGAGGGTAGGGAAGGAGCAAATGCCCCTCTGTGCTGGTCTCTAGTACTGGCCTGGCTCTGAGAACATTGTGCATGGTGGCTCCAAGAATCCCTGCATATGTCCAATGGGCTTATCCCCTCTACTTCCCACTGAGTGCACTGAGGTGAGGAGGGTAGGTCTGGCTCTGGGTTTGGGTCCTAGCAGCTGGTGCAGATCAAGGGCAGTGGAGGGACATGGACAGGAGTGGAGTGGGTCCTGGGCCCACCAGGCTTCCTTGAGGATCATGGGAAAGGGCATGTGCTGACTATTGTCAGTTGCTACAGGCTTTGGGTCCTTTTCTGCCTCCTGCCCTACCCCTCTCTAAAGTGACATGCATCTCAGCCACCTGCCCCACCTCCTCCTCTAGCTGCCCTGCACCACCCTCTGCCAAACCCTTTGGGCTGTGCTTCCAGCCTGGCCCCCAGCTCCCTCCACAGCCCTGACATCAGCCCACCACTCTCTGGGGCTGCCAATACCCCTCTAGGTCCTCTCCAGCCCCACCTCCTGCTGCATGGCTTCCTCCTCAAGGCTCCCTAGTGCTGCCCTCTATGGGGCCCTCCTCACCTGCTCCAGTGTTCCACATTACCTGAAAGTCCACATTGCTGGAAGGTTTGCCCTGGGTCCTTCCTTTGTCTCCAGCTCATAGTCTCTCCAGAATGCCCCAGGCTTTTGAACTTTTATGGACCATCAAATTCCCCAAATACACTGGGGACTGACATTGGGCTTCTTACATTTTAGCTTGCCAAGAAACTACATAAAAACCTTCCTCTTAGTCTCACTGTGTGTCATAAACGATAGTGTGCCCCAAAACTTCAGAACAAAGGGTGGGCCTTTCATGGGATAGATTTCACTTTTTGAACTCCTCACTCTGTCATCCATCTTGCCGTTTTGGCTGCATCATGGGTGCTCATTGTGCCATGGCCCCATATAGCCAGCCCATGGGACCTGTGTCTACCTCAGCCAGGAGCCAGACCACTGCTTCTCTGACTGGCCTCCCTGCCGGTCCAGACTTCTAACCCCGCCTTACCCCCTCTGGCCTGTACACTCCAGGCTCTCCACCACCCAAGCTCATCATCTCCACAACCCCACCTCAAGTCCCACCTCTCTCCTCTGCATCACACCCAGAAAACAGCAAATAAGCCTCACCATGCGTCTGGCTCCAGCCACTCCCTGGGGCCACTCCGCAGTCTCTGCCTCCAGCCCATCTGCCCACACTGCCCAGGGAGCTTTCTAAGGTACCATCTTGTCCCACCTGCCTAAATCCACCTCCAATGGCTCCAAGGGCCTTCGAAAAGGCCCACCTTCCTCTGCCTGGCACTCAAAGTCCTTGGCGTTAGGCCCTCACCATCCCTCTTCCCCTGCACAGCAGCCCACGGCAGGCCACCTCTCACAATCCCAGGACATCATTGGCAACTAAAGCCACAGTCAAGGGTAAGTTTATGTTCTGGGAGCCCCTATCTAGGGGAGCAGACAAGTGTGTAAACAGATTTACTGAGGGCCAGATAGGGGCAGAGAGCACCCTGCAGCCCACTAGATGGGCCCTCAATGCTGCGCCAAGGGGCTTAGGCTTCATGTGGGGCAACAGAAGCCAGGCCAGGGATTCGGAGCAGGGACGGTCCCAGGTCTGTGTGGCTGATTTTCTCAGGAAACATCCACAGTAGAAGTGTCGAGTGGAAAGGGCCCAGACTGGAGGGCTAAGGAGGCCCGAAAGGGGAGGTGGACTAGACATGGGCCCTGAAGAGGCAGTGCTAACGAGGGGTGGATGTTTCTAATGGCGTCTGAATGGATGGCTGCGAGGGCCCTAGGTTGTCCTTGCCAGGCTGCAGCCTCCACCAAGTGCAGCAGGGAAGGTTCAGTCCTCCTCTCCTTCCTCTGGGCCTCTGGAGCTGGAGGTGACTCTACCCCCACCCCAGAAGAAGCCCTTCCCTGTGAGGCCCCCCCAACTAGGCAGAGACCCCTGTCCCACCCTGGACCAGTCCCTGTGCCCATACCTGGCTACCCAGTCCCCCCTGGTGCTGGTAGAGGGAGAACCTCTCTTTGGCAGACTCCTCGGCGGTGGGGCTGAGGGGCTTAGGGTCAGACAAGGACCGCTGCAGGGTCTTCATGGGGCGAGGCAGCGTCTGTTGGCGGAGAGCGCTGTCAGCCGCGAAGTGCTTCTGGGGACTCACATGAGCCTTGTTCAGCCTCTCACTGGAAGCAAAGGAGGCGTCCAGGAGCCGGTGTGGGGACAGGGGTGAGACTGGTGAGTAGAGGACCTGAGGGGACTTGGGAGGCTGGCGGCTCACAAGCTGTGAAAGGGACTCCGGGGGTAGGTGGGCCTGGTATCCAATCTCCAGGGGATCCGGCTTCTTTTTTTCGAATCTTCCCAGGGGCCCTGGGGTGACGATCTGGATGCCAGGCAGGTAGGGGCTGATGGCAGCTGGCCCTATAAGCTGTGGCCCAGCCCCACCCTGCGTCTGCCCATCCGGCTCCGTCTGGCAGGCCAGGCTTTCCCCGCGCCCGGTCTTCTCTGGCGCAGATATGTACCTGATGATCTCCACCTTGGGGTCAGTAGCAGCTGTGATGTGGATGGCTGGAGAGACTCTGGGCAGCTGGTCAGGCTCCGTCTGCACGGAGCAGTCACTGATGGTCTGGATGCCCACGCTACTCATGGCCCTCACAGCGGTGGCAGCGGTGGATGATGAGGCAGTAGCATCATGTTTGCTGTCTGAGCCGGAGTCTGAGTGGCGGGAAAGACGGGATCTGCGGCGGCGCACTGGCTGCTCCCATTCGGCGTTGTCCTCATCATCCGTCTGCACGCTGCAGTCAGCACTCCGTCGGACCCGGCGCCGCCGGGTGAGGAAGTAGCGGCCCTCCCCATTCTCATCATCTGTCTGCACACTGCTGTCTGCAATCCTCCTGACCATGCAGGGCTCAGGCCCCGACTCCGCCTCGAAGGTGTCCCGCAGGCGTGGCATTGAGTGCCGCTTCTTGAGGCCACTTCGGCTTGCCTCCCACTGCTCCTCAGTCTGCAGTGACATGTCCGAAGCAGAGCTGGGGAGGCCACGGTGCAGCACAGGCTCCCGAGGCTGCCCCAGCCCCTCAGGTCCTGCCACGGCAATGAAAGCTGCATGGGTCAGGGGCGGCCAGTACTGGCCATTCTGAGCCAGCTCAGTGGCCGCAGGGGGAGGCCCTCGGCTAGGTCCATCACAGGTCACAGGGAAGGGGGCCTTCTGACGCTGCTTTTGTTCCTCTAGCTGCTGCTGCAGCTGCTGCTGCAGCTGCTGGATCTGCTCCAGCTGCAGACGTTGTTGTGCCAGCTGTTCCCGCTGCAGGGCAAACTGGGCTTGCCGTTCCTCCTGCTGCTGCTGCAGCACATGGTGCTTGATGGTCTGCAGCTCCTGCAGCTCCCGCTGCACCAGCAGCTGCTCTTCCTCCCGGTGCCTCTGCAGCTCTACCCGCTCCCGCTCGAGCTCCTCCTGCAGCCGCAGCTGCCGCAGCTTCTCCAGCTCCACCCGCTCCCGCTCAAGCTGCAGCAGCTGCTCCTGCTGCTTCCGCTGCCTCTCCTCCTGTGATGCTTCCTCCTTCTCGAGCCCTGGCCGGCTGGGCGCCCCACTACTGCCTCCAGGAGCAGCATCTACTGGTTGCTTCTGGCCAGCCAGGGGGCCTGGGACTGCGGCTGGGGCCAGGGCCGGGGCCGGGGCCGGGGCCGGGGCCGGGGCCGGGGCCGGGGCTGCTACAGACTCCTTAGCAGCAGCAGGGGTGGCTGTGGAAAGAGGCTCTTCTCGAGCTGTCCCTGCCGACGGCTCTGGCCTTGGAGGGCCCCCAGCCCCTGGAGCCTTAGCAGCAGCAGGTTTCCCCAGATAGACAGGACCCTCAGCAGGCGGCATGCTGGAAGCGGTAGGGAATCTACTTGGTGCAGGATATCGGTACAGCCCCGTGGGCCCAAGAGGCACCCTGGGGGCAATCATGGGCATGCGTGTTAGGCTGGTGAGTGGCACAGCTGTGACCCCACCAGATGCATAAGGCCTGTACATGCCGCCACGCACCATGGGCCGCAGAACTGAGCCGGGCTGGGTGGTGATGGGCAGTGTTGCAGCAATTGGGGTGTTGATAGTCGAGTAGATCATGCCATCAGCTGCACGCACAGTGGCTGTGGATGGCAGCAGCTGTCTGACTGCTGCTTCCTGGGTTGCTGAAGGCCTGTACTGGGGCAGGGTCCCAGGATTTGGGTGGCCCTCCGGGAAGGTGGGGTTCCCAAGGAGGCCAGGTCTGAGTGGACCCAGACCCTGCGGGGTACTTAGCCCAGGCCCGGGCTGGGGCTGATACGGCATAAGATCAGGGCCACCACCGCCACTGCCATGTCGCCCTCCATACTGGTCCATGGAGTTGAGGGCTGCGCACATGCGGCTGATCTCGCGGGCCGTGGTGGCACTGTAGTGGGCCAGGCTGGCCTCTTGGAAGCCAGCTGCATCTCCCCGAGGGCCATACCTGTGGTCTGAGTAGATGTTTGACACTGAGCTGTAGCGCCGCATGGGGAGTGGTTGAGTCAGAAGGTCTGTGGGATGACGCAGGTCCGTGAACGAGCCATACTGCAAGCCCTGCCCAAGGCAGCGTCCGTCTGCAAAGCCCAGGCTGTAGGATTGCTTTAGCGAGCTGAGGTCCACAGCGGAGTCCCGTCCAGGGCCCTGGAAGAGCTGCCCCATCCTGTGGGCATGGTAGTTGAAGCTGGCCTCGGCCAAATTGGTGTCGGACATGGAGGAGTACAGCCTACCAGGGAGGCCCTGTGGGTAGGGCCTCTGCTCCTCATGGGACCCAAGACCCATTACCCCCTGTGCCCGGTAGGTGGGGGGCTCGGGAGGCTCAGGGTCCCGAGGACTGTAGAAGAGACTGCTGCTTTGGCCATGTGGGGCAACATCTGCCACACTCTTCTCGGGTGCGCTGGGGGCAGGGTGGAAAGTGCCTGCACAGCTACTGCCAAAGGGGAACCTGTAGACCACGTCACAGCAGGCCAGCTGGCTCTCGGGCCTCATCCCAGAGAGGTCCATGGCACCCGCTGGTTCCTCTGGGAGCAGCGTGGTCACAGTGCCTGCCGTGCCCTCTCCCATCTGCACCAGCACTGTGTGTGGCTTCCTGGCACCTGGCAGAGCGTGAGACCGCAGCTCTCCAGGGGTGGCCCGGTGGGGGTCAGCACCGGGCTCTGGCACAGGGCCTGACTTGAGGCCAACACTCTGGGAAGTGCCCATCTGGGTGATCAAAACATCTCTTCTGGCCAGAGGTGCTACCTGGTTGGGCAGGTTATACCTGGCAAACTTGGCCTCCCTGGGTCTTCCCCGGGGCCCACCTCGGTTCGGGGCTGTCTGGACAGCCTGCTCTATCTGCTTGACCTGGGCCAGGCACACGGGACTACCTACACCCTGGCCAAAGTCAAGCCGGCTCTGAAAGGGGTCTCCATAGACCACAGGCTGCTTTTGCTGAGCCACGAGCACAGACGAGGCCATGGTGATGCTCATGGTGGTGGCAGTGCTGAGGAAGGCATGGGTCTGCTCCTGGGTGTTGAGGTTAATGACCAGAGGCTGTACAGCTGTTGACTGCCGTCCTGGGACTGGATCCAGGGCAAGGCCATACTTCCTTGCTTCCACGGCAAGAGAAGTCAGGTCCATGCCCTGGTCAGTGAGGATGATGGGCGTGGGCTTGACGGCCGTGCGAAGGTCTACTACGGCACTGCCAGGGGGCCTAGGACCTGGCTCAACCCTGGACGTTCCAGGGACAGAGGAGATCCGGCACAGGGAGATGTTCTCAGCAGGGAGGGCACCCCAGCCATACAGTGCCAGGGGCCCATCCATACCAGCGCTGGCTGCCCGGGGGAAACCAGGTGGCCCAGGAGGCTCCGAGGGCAGCTGAGACCCACTCAGAGGTGTTGTCTGGCTGTAGCTGTGGGTGGTGGGCTGGGTGTCAGTGGGGGAACACACTGGGGAGGTGGAGGCACTGGCATGTACCATCCTAGTCTGGCTGGAGGCATCGGATGCCAGTGTGATGACTATGACGGGGGCCTCCTGCGAGGACGGCTGCCAGGCTAGGCGCGGCGTGCTGGGTCGGTGTGGGGTTTGTGTGCCCTGAGCCACCATGGAGGACGGGGTGGGGGCACCAGGGCTCCGTGGCATATCCGAGGCAGGGGTTGGGCTTGGCGTCTGTGTAGAGAACTCTACTGTGGCCCTTGGGCCCAGTTTGCCAGGGGAGAATGTGGGACTCTCTGAGGGAGATGATGGGGAGAGAGGTGAGCTGGAGCCCGCAAAGTAGGAATATCCCTGGGAGGGCTGGGTCGTGCCGCTCTTGCCATCACTCACACGCAGGGGCTTCTCTCTGGCAGCCCGTCCACTGGCAGCAGGGCCACTGGGGACCTGGGGCAGCTCCTCAGTTTGGGACCCATAGTTTGCAGTGGCTGGGCTCTGTCCATAGCTGTGGGCTATGGAAGACGGTGAAGGGCTGCGCTCAGAGCCTGCTGGGGACATCGGAGTCACATAGCCTCGAGGCGGGCCCGCTGGACAAGGAGCCATAGCTGTGGTCGCTGGGGTCCCAGGGCCCTGGGAAAAGGATGTGCTGACCTCCTTGGAGGCAGAGCTGGGGGAGGCAGGAGAGCTGTGCAGCTTCAGGGGGTCCTGAGGTTCCTTTGCAAAATGCTGAGTAACTCGGACATCAGGAATGACTCGGCCCCCACTACTGTCTGAGGAGATGGAGGTGGAGAAGGGCACAGGGGCAGCGAGCTGGGTGGGGCTGGTACCAGGGGTAAGTGGGCCTCCATTTTGCTTCATTGGGTCCGTGTATGCACTCTCAGCATTCAAAAACTGCTTCTCCTTCTTGTCCTCGGCAAAGGCCAGGTCCCGGGAGGAGGCCTGCCGCATGCGGGCAATGCTCTGTGATGTCTGAAGGATCTCCTCATACACAGCTGCTCCCAGGCCGGCAGGCGTGCCCTCCGAGGGAGGTGGAGCAGCCCTGCCATAGTCGTGGTCTGCGGTGTCCTGGAATTCAAAGGAACCCTGGGCCCGGGGGCCCGCGGGCTGAGAGGGGCCTCCATGGGGCCCCCTGGCCCCCGCGGCCTGGCCCTGCTGCTGCTGGAGCAGCTCGGCCTTCCGCATCATCTCCTCGTAGGCCTCCTCGGCGCTCTTGAGGGGCCGGCCGGAGCTGGGCGCGCTGGAGCTGCCCAAGGGCGTCTCAGTTGGCGAGTAGAGGGACATGAAAGTAGGCAGGCTGTACTCACTGCCCGACTTATACAGCCGGGTGGGGCCGCCATCCAGGGCCTCGGCCTCGGAGTCCAGGGAGGGCGAGGGCGAGTACTCCGAGCAAGAAGAGCGGTGGAGCTCCTCCATCTCGGCTGCCTGCCGCAGCTCCTCCGTGGGGGAGGCGTCTTCGATAGGTGACAGGTTGCTGGGGGGTGTCTTGGAGCGCTCACGCCGCCGCTGGGCCCGCAGCTCCTCCTTGTCCCGACGGGTCTTGCGGACGGTGCTGCGGATGCGCTGCTGCTCCACCTCCCGCATCTTCTCCTGCTCCCGCAGCAGCTCCTCCTCCTCCCGCAGCTCCTCCTCCTCTGAGGAGTCCTCGATGGTGGGCAGCAGGGGCCCGTGGGAGCGGTGCCTGGCCTTTCGCTGCTGCTTTGCTTCTTCCAGTCGCTGCCGGCGGCTGGGGCTGCTGTCGCTGTCCTCCTCCAGTGAGGACAGGGAGGTGGGAGAGGTGCCCGATGTGTAGCTGGGCGTGGAGGCTGGCAAGGTGGAGGAGTGTTCCCCGCGGGAGCGGTCCTCAGGCGAGCCTGTCAGACTCTCCATCTCCAGCTCAGGCTCGCGATCCAGGCCAGGGTCGGGGCCTTGGCCCAGGTCCAGCTCGTGGCCATAGCTGCCTGTGCTATTGAGCTCAATGGTCTTGAAGCGGCGGAGCCCTCCCTGCAGGGCCCCGGTGCCGTCGATGGCCTCTGCTGGGCCTCCCTCGGAGAGCAGCTCCTCATAGCCCGTGGTGGCGTTGTGGGGCAGGCGCCTCTTAGGCAGTGCTGCTGGCTCCTGGCTGGGCTCGGGCCTGGGCCTGGGGCCACCCTTCTGGGTGCCATGTTTGGCCAGGCCATGCCTGGAGGTGGCCACATCATCCTCTTCCAGATTGTCTTCCTCAGCACTCATCTCCAGTATTTGTCGCCGCATAAACTCCTCATCAGTCATTTCTGCTGCCCGGGCTGCAGGCTGGGACGGAAGAGGGGACAGGCCGCCCTCACTGCTGTCCTCCACATAGTCATGCCTCAGCTGGCTGCCAAAGTCGTCCGAGGACTCAGCTGTGTCCCGCTGCTCCCTCTGGCGCCCCCACTCCAGAGAGTCCTCCTCTTCCTCCAGGATATCCTCCAGCTCCTCATCGGAGTCGAAGGCCTCAGGCATGATGGACAAGGAGTGGGGCCGCCGCTTCTGCTCCTCCCCACTGCTCCTGCTGGGTGGCTTGCTCCGCTCGCCACTGGAGGCTGGGCCCTGGGCCTGCAGGGAGGGCCGCACACTGCCCACCTTGTGAAGCTGAGAGGGGCTGGGTGGGCGTGGCCCTGTCACCCCTGCACTGTCCAGCTGCTCCACCTCCTGCTGCACCACACCTGTGATCTCACTCTGGGAGCTGGAGACTCCATCAGAAGAATAGCCTGTGTCGCTGAGGCTCTGTGGGCTCCGAGACAGGTCCTGAGAGTAAGGCTTGCCCACCAGCTCCTGCAGCAGGTGAGAAGCAAATACTGACTTCCCACGGCAGACAGCTCATCAGAGAGCCCAGCCCTCTCCATCAATACCAGGGCCCTAGGGAAGGGTCCTTCCGCCTCCCGGGGGTCAGAGCCCACCACCCTGTCCATTTCTCTGGCCTTAAATAATTTGCAGGTTCCATGGCAAACCCAAGCAGCCGTAGGTTCTTAAAGAGAAACTTTACTAGATCTAATGGAAGCAAAACCCAGCAAAGCATCCAACAAGGTGCCAGGCACAGGACTAGCTTATAACCACAGGCTCCAGACGCACCATGCATCTAGGCATCCCTGCTCTCCTCTGTGGCCCCAAAGAGCCCGAGCCAGGCCTACATCCCAGCACCCTCAGGAAACCAAGCCCTTCCCTAGACCGTGCCACCTCACCTCAGTTAGGGTCCCTGTGAAATGAATGGCACTGACCTCCGCTTCCCCACCCTTGGGGGCTTCTGGAACAGCCTTGACGACAGGGGTGGTGGGTTCAGTCCTCCGCACCGCAGTTTTTGCTTTAGGAGTCCCGTGGGGCACAGTAGTCTCTGGAGGCGGTTTCGGCACAGGCTCAGCTTTAGCTGGGACTCCTGTCTTCTTTTCCTGGGCACTGCTCGGGGTCCTGCTGGGTTCAGAAGCCCTGAGGGGCTTTGCCTGGGGGCTGGCCTTGGCGGGCAGAGGGACTGATGGCTGGCCCGGCCCCTGTGGTCCTTTCTGCTTCAGAGGGGTTGTTCCAGCCACACGGTGAGGGGCCCCTGAGGGGGGCTGCTGTGAGGTGGGCAGTGGTAGGGGGGTCGGTTCTCCCAGGCTACCCTCCAGCAGTCGCTTAGTTTGGCAGTTCAGACAGAGCCACTCAGTTTTCTGTAAGGAAACGGGGGTGGGGGGGGAGCTGATGAAATCATGAAGACACTGAAGTACTCAAAGAATACTTCCATGACCATTTCTGTAAACTTAAGGAGGAGAAACCCTTCCAAAGCATGACACTGAAGGCACGAAGAGAAAAAGACAGATTTGTTGCCCACAAATGACAGACTTTCCTATTCTTAAATGACAGACAAATAACACACAGAGTTAAAATGATGAACCCAAAAGAAGGGTCCCTTCCTTACCCCATCGAGAGCTTTTCCCCTGACTAGACAAGAAAGACTGTAGGGGAGGGGAGGCTATGAGAGGCACAGGGCCTGGACAAGATGGGGAGCCTGGGGGCTGCTGTGGAGCCCAACAGTGGGGAGACTGGCAGACAGGAATGGCATCAGACAGGGCACCTCCTGGATGCATGGCCCCTCCCCACCTCCTGGCTCACAGGCCTCAGGCACCATCCTTCTCCATATCCTTCCCAAGCAAGGACTGTGCAGGGAGGGGACAGACTCCTGGGGCCAGGATAGGTGCTCTGGGAGACACCCTAACTTGGGGGCCGGGTGGGGATGAGCAATCTCCTCTGCTCACACCCCCCACAGAAAATGCCATATCAGTGATTCTGTCCTGGCTTCCTGCCCACAGAGCAACAAATCACATCTCTGCCTAGAGTTCCAGCAGAAGCCAGTCCGGCAGGTGGCAGGGCCTCAGTGTATGAGAGAGAGGCCTGCTCCACAGGCTCGTTACTCAAGACCTTGAGACCATTTCCTTGGATCGGAGCTCTTCTCTGCCCTGAGGCCCAATCCCACAGCCAGGTCCTGGGCAGAGGGGTCCAGCTATAGAGGGGGACACTCCAGAGGTCCTCCATGAACTCACCCTGCTTCCTGCAGGGTCCAGCCTTAAGCACCACTGTTGATTCCTTTAGACTTTATCTGATGCTCTATGCAATGCCACCACCCAACTCCAATGAGGCAATGGGTACTGGCTACTTGCTGGGCCTTGGGCTTACTTTGCCTGGCAGGATCCACTCCTAGAGGTGCCTGGGAGAGTGCTGGACAGGCTGAGAACAATCCCTGAGACGGACATAAGCTTAGAGTCTTAGCTAAGAATCCCACCCATAAGCCCCAGCATCACCTAGGGTCACAATGAAAATGCCCCCATGTCAGAGAGAACTGTGATATGGCATAAAGACCCTGGACAGGTAGGAGGGGTGTAGGCAGAGGGCAAGAGAAAGTTCTGGAAATAAGCCATCAGCCTCTTCCCCAGCCCAGGATCAGCAGGATGGGATTAGGATCTGGGCCCAGAGTGGGGCTGACCCAAGGCAACACTACCCTGACTCCACCTTGGGTCCCTGCAAACAAGGTTAGGCCTCTCAAGGTTAGGTCATCTTCCCTGGCTCACCCTGGTGGCTTAGCAAACCTCTAACACCTACCCCTGGCCTGCAGACCCCGACCCTGAATCAACAGCCCAAATGAAGTAAGAGCACCTTGGGAGGGTGGCCTGGATGGAAGAGGTAGATGTGACGTCACGGGCTCAGAGCCAGCCCCTGCAGCGACCTGCTTACCTGAGCCCCCGCAAAGCATGGCCCTGTTGATCACATGCTCCCCGGGGCTCTGCTCCTTTCCATGGTTACTCATGGAGGGCTCAGGCTGCAGAGGGGCTGCCCAGTCGGCCCTCTTGCTCCTGGCTCTGCTATAGCAGGCAGCAAGGAAGAGAGGGGCGGCAGGCAGGAGGAGGCATGTGAGGTAAGAGCTAAAAATAAACACCTGGCCTGGCTGCTGAAGGCCCTTCCCCAGCCCTCTGCGGGTAGGGAGAGAAGGGTATAGGGCATTGGGGCTAGTGGGGGTGGAGCCAGGGGAGACCTGGCCCAGGCCTGAGTCTTCTGGGGGATGGGGATGGGGTGGGAGGCAGGCCATGCAGAATCTCTGTGCCTGGGGCTAGAACACAGCTGCTGAGGCCCCAGTTTCTTTGTGCACCCTGTTCTCATCTGTGACCCCCACCAACATGGCCCTGCCTTGCCCCTGCCCACTCATTTCCTGTTCACTCATTCCCTGACACACTGTCTCTCATAGAACTCCCTCACCCAGCCCCAGCCCTGGGGGAGCTGTTGCCTGCTTGACCCGTTGGTAAGTAGGCAGATGATCCAGGACCTGGAAAAGGACAATAGGAGGCTCTGGGGACCACTTCGGCCTGGCTTCCCTCTGCCCAGTTCCTTTATGGGGGCGGGAAGGTAGAAACCTCCAAGGGCAGTTGGCACCTGAAGGTGAGAGGTGCAGGGGTGCTTGGGCAAGGTCAGTCATAGAGCTAGGTGAGGTGCAGGTGCAATACCATTGGGTAGAGCTAGGCGGGCTCAGGGTGAGGAAAGGGAAGTGAGTTGTCCAAGACAGTTGGTGGGCGCCCCACACACAGGTGGGACCTGCTGCCTTCAGGGGCCACCGGCTACTATGTCCAAGGGAGCCCAGCGGAGCTGCACTGGAAGTGAGCGCTCCTCCCTGCACTGTCTGCCATCTGATGAGCCTGCAGAGGCAGGAGGAGCCAGCCTGTGTCAGTCTGGTTATGGTGGCACCAGCACAACTGACCCTCTATGGCCGCCAGGCCCAACAGACCCCCCAGACGAGGGGGCAGTGGATGAGGACTCCCAAAAAAAAGGGTGCCTAGAGGTAAAGGACCCAAGACTCGAACATTGGTCCGCAGGCATGGCCATCTCTGGGGCTACTGTTCCTCTCCTGCTCTGTGACCCTGCTGCCCCTCCTGTCCCCAGGCATGCTGAAGCTCCTCTTTTCTGGGCCCCCCCCTCCCATAGAGGAGTCATCCCTGACATCTGCAACATGTGCCTCTGTGGCCAGGCTCTGCGCTCCTTGTGCTCCAGGGCCCTGGCGACCCTCATGAGACCAGGATCTTGCACTGGTCACAGGGCTGATTCACACCAGATAGCCGGGGCTCGGGGACTCTTTCTTCCCACACACAGATTCCCTTAGAACACCTGGTTCCAGCCTCCTGGCTCGAGGGCTGGCACTGTTGGACCTTGCAGGAGTAGTGGGCTATGGCGTCGACCTGGCTCTCTCAGAACCCTAGGAGGGAGGACTCCCGCCCCATTCCACGGGGAGGAGATGGCTCCCTGCGATCACCACCCCCAGAGGCAGCCTGAGGCAGCCGCTGGCCTCTCGCCTGATACCCCTGCTGCAACCCCTACCCCAAATAAACCCAGCCCAGCCCTACATATCACGGAGGCCAGGCCCTTTGCCCGGGGAGGCCAAACTTCTCAAGGGCATGGCTGGTATTTGGCAATTATGATAATCTAAGAAACTGGCAGTGTTACTGTAAGCATTCCAATTCCATGAACTTCCTCACAAACTCTATTTTGAACTGAAAGCCAATTAAAATTAAGCCAGAGGGTACTATTATCCTTTAAAAAGATAAATAGGTTTAAAAAATTTGGAATCAACAACTCTTAATTATAAAATGACTCACTAAATAGCACTAGGGTTATTTATTTATTTTTTCCAGAGGAAATCTCAGTGGGAAAGGGATCTAGCCCTGCTGCCTCTTGCACTGTGTGCTCTGCACTCCCTGTCTAGAAAGAAGGCAAGAAGATTTTTGAAGCTCAGAGATGTTGAGGATAATTCCCAACCTGGCAGCCCAGACAGTGGGCTCCGGCCTCAGGTGGAGCCACAGCAGGCCTAACAGGCCTGTGGGGAGCAGGCAGTGAGGTCCCCTGGTCCGTCCCTCCCTCACACTGTGCACAGACAACACAGTTATCTCAAGCCTGATGGCACCTTGGTCGACCAAGGTCCTGGAAGGACAGCAGGGCAGACCTAACCCTTGGACCTGGAGAAGGACCTGCTAGCCCTGCCACCTCACTCCCAAGGCAGGATATGTCTGGGGTACCTGCTGAGAAATCAGGAGCCTCTAACCAAAAACACACCAAGTAGGTCACAGGGAAGCACCAAATGGCTCTGAATGTCAAGTGGCTATTCACTGAGTTGAGATCAAAGACAGCCCACAGTCTGGTTAGGGCCTTAGCAAAGAAAAGCAACAATGTTGGTGAGAGGGCAGAGGGGAGACACACCAAGCATCAGCCCCTCCACACCAGCCCCTTGCAAGACCCAAGGCAGGTGGAGCCGCAAGAAGGTACTGGTCATTGTCTGGGTGAGGGAGGGTAAGGGCTTGGACTAGGCTGCAGCCATGAAGGTGAAGAGGAGAGGCCAGGTTCCAGTGACAGTGGGGGGGAAAGCCAGCAGGGCTCGGTCCATGAAGTGGATGCTGGTGAGAAAAGTGAAGTTGAGGATGGCCCCAGGGTGTCAGCTTGCATCTCTGATGGTGGACGGTGGCACGGTTTCCGGTTTCTGTTGTGAGAACCATGGGAGCAGGCATCATGGCTGCCCACCCACACCTTCCCCAGGAGCAGCCTTAGGTCTGGGGATAGCAGTAGTAACAAGCAGAGCCATGAGGAGAAAGGGGAGAGAAGCTGGGCCACCCTCTGACTGTCGGGAGCAGGAGGCAGGGAAACAGAGGGTGCAGGGTTGGGAGGAGCTAGGACCAGGATGCTGAGCAACTATGCATCAGGCCCATGGAGGCAAGGGTGATCCTAGCCAAGGAGGTAGCAGTGGAGCAGGACATGGGGACAGCAGGACATGGAAGGGTAGGGCAGGGGCAATGTTGGCCAGAGAGGCGGAAGCTCCGGGGTCCAGGAAGGCATAAACCAAGCAGCTAATGCAAGATTTAGATGAGAATCCAGATGCTCATCCAGAGCCAGCCTGTGACTGAGACACTCCTGCTTGGCTGAATCAGCACTTCCCCTGGCCTGGCCCGGGGCTGCTGAAAGGAGCCGTCAGGAATGTTTCCACTTCTGGACAGAGACAGTTTTCCATCCTCTGTGCACACCTGCTTCCTGAGGAAATGAAGACCAGGGCTCTTGGGAATCGGGGTCCTCCAGGCTGGGCCAGCTCAGCAGTCCAGTGGGGTTCACAGTCCCTCAGCGTTGGAGCACCCCACCCAACTGAGAGTGAGCGAGTGCCTGGCAGTCCCTCTACTGGAGCTCCTCTGGCCTTGTGGTGCCCCTGGTGTCCCCTCCCCACCCTGGTCAGCCAAGCTAGCTGTCCTCCAGTGAGCCACTGACTTGGGAAGGTGGCAGTGTAGGAACTAGAGGGCCACATGGCTTCACATGAGAGTGTCATTTGTCTTGCTTAAGGCCTCTCCTTGCATCTTGGAAGTATGGCGGCCAGAGCAGTCTTCCTCGTCGCACTGGGTGGCTCCCAGGAGGCCTGAGCCAAGGAAAGTCAGAACAGGTGCCACACAGACCATGGCAACCCCATGTTCTACTTTACTGTCCCAACCTCGGCCAGCAGGGGACTACACTCCACACTCCCCTGCCTGCCATCGGCCATGCATGGCTTAGCCCAGGAGCTCCAAGGGCTCAGCTGGCTGACTGTGCAGGAGGAGGGGCCTTGGCTTGGCCATCTCCTAACATGAGAGCAGGGAATAAATCCACTTGCCAGGTTGAGCCAATCACAGACCCCAAGGCATGCCACAGAAGGGGACACAGCCAGTTATGTCCAAGGCAGCCACGGTAGGGTCCACCAGAGGGTCCTGCGCAGGGTGGAATGGGCAGGGGAGGGTCAGAAGCAGGCTCCAGGGCCAGGGTTGGTCTAGCTCTGCCTTCGCACCATCGAAGCCTCCCAGGTGGGGCTCTCAGCTTCAAGAGAACACTGGGCCTCCAGCTCCCTTCCCCCGACTCTGTACAGTGCCCAGCACCCTCCCCTGGAGCAGGGGCTGCAGAGAGACAGACCCAAACCCGGCACTCCCTCCAACTTTCCTACAGGTGAGAAGAGCATCTCTGAATGCCCCACAAGCAGTCCCAGGGGAGCCAGGCCCACCCAGTGGGAAACACAGGGCCAAAGGCTGTGGCTCTGACAAGCAAACATCAACACCCCAACACCAATAACTTCAGAAAGGGATGGAGGGCGGATACCACCTGGCTGGGCTAGAGCCTGGGCAGTGGGACATGGCCTTCCCCACTAGGAGAAAACCTCCTGCCTCCCCCTGGGCATGGAGCACAGCCCTCTGCCTAACAGCCCTCAACCTCTGTGAGGGTTACAGGCCAAGGGCCAGGTGGGACCTCAGGTTCTTCCTACCTGAGCGGAGGACGCTGGCATCTTTCATCAGGGTCATGCCCATGATAGCTGGGAATGGGGAGGCCAGGTCAGGGCCTCCTGAGCCTGGCTACCTCTGAGCCAGCTCAGGGCACTCGTCTACCTGTCAGAGGCAGTGGACATCATTACCCACCCACGGTGCCAGTCAGTTCCCTGGGTAGAAGGACAGGCCTGGGGGGACATTAGTAGTGCAGGGGCAGCCCCGCGACTGCTGCGGACTCGGCTCCGCAGCTCTTCCTGGCTCCCACTCTCCATGCCGCCCATGGCCCGTTCTCTTACCTCCACCAGGTGGGGCGTCGGGTTGAAGCCACACAGGTTGCACACCTGGAGCTTGCAGGTAGTGCAGGTGTTGTAGTTGGCTGGGCCCTTGCTGCCCACATTGAGCTCGGCTTGGCACAGTGGGCAGGTGGCCTTTTCCTTCGGCATGGTCTTTGGCTTGGCAGTAGCCTTGGACACTGCCTGGTGTTCTGCTCTGCCATGCTTTGGACTGGTCGTTCCCCCAGTTTTTGCCAGGGCTCCAGGTCCTGATACAGGACCTGTTCTAGCTGCAGGCTCAGTTTTGGCTCCAGGTGCTGGCCCAGGCCCAGGCCCTGAGCCTGGGGGTCTTGGGCCAGCCTCCTTGCTGGCATCACTGAAGACAATCTTGGGTGGCCCCTTGCTGGGAGCAGGCTGGCTCTGGGTATCGGCCTCAGGCTGCACAGACATGAGGGTACTCGCCTGGGTCAGCAGCGATGCACCAAGACCGAAGAGCTTCCCAGTGAGGCCCTCCTGGGTCTGCTCAGCAGCACCAGGCCCAGAGGGCACTGTGGTGGCACTTTTGGCCAGGGTATCTCCTCCAGGTGGCCTGGGCTCAGCTGTGGAAGGCTTGATGGAGTGAGAGGGCTGAGGAGACACCTTCCCCACCTCTGGAGGGGCGGCTGCCTGGGCAGGTCCCAGCACTGAGGTGGCCCTGGCTGTCTCAGCCTGGCGGGGGCCCGGCTGTGGCCCCCCGGGGCCCCGTGGTCTCTCTTGCTCCGGCTTCCCCAGGGGCTGAGTGGCTGGGGAGTGCAGCTGCTGCTGGCTCCTGGAGCGAGGCGCCGTGGTCATGTCCATCCCCAGAGCCCTCTGCATCTGGCAGTTCAGGCAGAGCCACTCCTTCACCTGAGGAGGAAGCATCGTGGTCAGCAGTCACCGGGACTGGTGGCACCATGGTGCTGGTCATTGCAAGCCCCACAGCAGCCAGAGCCAGCTCCTAGCACAGCAGGAGCACCAAGCCCTGCTCAGGTGTCTCTGGGCTGCTGGGGGCAGGGCTGAGGGCAGACAGCACTCCCCTGCCCACTAGGAGCCGCCAGGCACGTGCAGCAGAACAGAGGCCGTCACCTTCCCCACCCTACCCCCACCACTGCCTGCCAGAGCCCCCCAACTCAGGAGTCCTCCCACCTGCCCCCTGGCTGTACCTCAGATCTGTATACATCGGTTCACCCCACATCCCTCCTCGCCAGTCCATGCCACTGTCGTCCCGGGCGAATGACCCCAAGAGCCTCCCACTGATCACTGCTGCCCCTGCTGCTCCCTTCAGGCCACCACCACACAGCACCGGAGGTGAGTGAGGACAGCGGGCCTAGCAGTGCCTGGCACAAAGGTGTTCAGTAAGAGCTTGCAGAAAGAATATATAAGTAAAGGGGTGAGAGAGGGAGGCATGATTCCTGTCCTGGAGGAGCACAGTCTAGCCGAGGAGACAAGAGACATGAAAAGTCTTGAAAGCAAAATCAGTGAGAGCAGACAAGGCAATGCGATGTGAGTGGCAACGTAAGTAATGAAATACGTCCTTTTTGTTCCTTCAGGAAGACACATTTTTGAAGAAAATGGGATAATCTGTGCCTCCAGAACAAACACGTGTTGCTATTCACATGACAGGCGTATAGTTTCTCCCTGTCACCCCTCCCTCAGCACAGTGGGCATGTGACTCAAGCTGGGCCAATCAGTGGTTTAGCGAGTGGTGCAGGGACAGGCATGTGATCTTGAAAACTGGGCCACACAGAGCCCAGCCCCGTCACATGGTAAATGAACAATAAGAGAGGGGGTCTTTTTCTTCTGGATCACTAGTCAGAAGGGTGCTGCCCTGAGAGGTCAGTAGCCGTCTTTCCTAGCATGCAGAGATACTAAGGATGATGTTCACAGCCAAAAGTGGAGCCAAGACAAAGAGAAATGGGTAGATTTGACGACTTCATTTAATTTTATGGGTTCTGCTTTGCCTTTATTTTATTTTTTAAAAATCCTCACCCGAGGATATTTTTTCCATTTATCTTTAGATAGAGTGGAGGGAAGGGAGGGGGAGAGAAAGAGAGAGAGAGAGGGAGAGAAACATCGACTAGTCACCTCCCGCACAACCCTGACCAGGGCTGGGGACAAACTGCAACTGAGGTGCATGCCCTTGGCTGGAATCGAACCCGCGACTCTGGTCCGAGGGCCAATGCTATAACCACTGAGCCAAACCGTCTAGGGCCAGCTATGCCTTTAGTCTACCCTTGGACTCCCGGTTACACAGGCCAATGTTTTTTCCTCCCAAAAATCCACATGTAAACCAGAGCATATACTTATGGGCTCACATCCCCCTGGAGGAGTCCCATCATGTTTCCCATGGGACTCTGCCATGGCCCGTGAGACCCCTGACCCTCCCCAGCCCACCCCTCTGCCTGGCCTCCTTTCCTGCCATCTCCCCTGAGCTGTCTCAGCCCAACACACTGGGCCTCTGTGCCGCCAAGTGGTGCTCTGAGCTCACTTCTGTACCAGGCCTTTGCACTCACTGTTCCCTCTGCCCCCAGGTCCAGCTACTTGTGTAGGTCTCAGATCAAGTGTCACTTTCCTTTCAGAACCGTCCCCTGGCCACCTGATCTAAAATTCCCCCCAGGCAGCCTGAAGCTAATCACCCAGTTTATTTTCTCCACAGGACAATTCTTTCCCAAAGTAATCTACTAATTTGTTTTTTGAGGTGTCTCTGTCTCTCCATGAGCCCTTGTTGAGGTGCTTTCAGGACTATGCACAGTGTGTGGCACAGATCAGGGCTTACCCCAGACTGGCTTGCTGGTGGGATTAATCCTCACAACTTTTTTTTTTTATCCTCATCCAAGGACATTTTTGCATTTATCTTCAGATAGAGCGGGAGGGAGAGAGGGAGGAAGAGAGAGAGAGAAACATTGATGTGAGAGAGACACATCGACTGGCTGCCACCCACACAACCCCAACCGGGGCTGGGGACAAACTGAAACTGAGGTACGTGCCCTTAGCGGGAACCAAACCTGGGACCCTCTGGCCCACAGGCTGATGCTCTAACTGCTGAGCCAAACCAGCCAGGGCCTGACAACCTATTAATGGGGGCACAGCTCCCACAAGATCACAGCCATGAGATAGGAGATTTGGTGCCTCAATGAGGAGGCTCCTTCCACATCCTCAATCAGAGCCAAGGCCGGAGGCCAAGGCTGCTTCCATCGGTAGTTGCAGCCAGAGGCTTTAAAAACCAGGTCTGATGGGATTTAGCGACATGCTCTTGCCACACAGCTAGGACGTGGTGCTGTCAGGGAGACGAACCCGACAGCCCTGCCAGTCCTGTGAGCTGGAGCCTGGAGCCTAACGCCTTCTGCATTCCTGCCTCTTCCAGAGGCCACTCAGCTTCATGCAGGTCAAGTCATGGTTCTAGAAGTTGCCCCTGCAAAAACACTGGCCGAGCTGTGGAAGACCAAGCCCACGTCAGGAAACCCAAGAACAGGGATGCCAAAGCCCTGGGGTATGCCGCTGCCCCAGCTGGGAACTGTCAGCTCACCCAGGAGTGCTTAAGGCCCAAGGAAGCTTTGTCTACATTTGGACAGAGAAAGTCACAGAGGACAAATAATTTGTGTTCCTGGGACTCAGTCCAAAGACCCCTTTAGAAAGGTCCTTCTTGAGGGGTGTGGAGAGAGGCTTGTTCCCATCAAAGTGGGAGCTCCTAAAGATAAGCTATCTCTGCTAACCCTCAGAGGCACCCCGAGAGGGGGTCACCCTCCTGAGGGAGGCCCAGGCTCTGGCCCAGGGCAGTAGCCACAAACTCAGTTCCTGTGGTGGGTGCCAGCCCACAGCCAAGGCCCAGGTGGAGAGTGGGACTTCCTGAGAAGAGGGATGTGTAGGCAAGGCTTCTTGTCCTGGGACTTCAGGAAGACCCTTCCTTGATTCTACAAAAAGTTGAACAAGGCAGTGGCGGGGGGTGGGGGGTGGTGATGTGCCAAAACTCCTGCACTCACCACCAGAACCTTCTCTTACCCAGCCCGTCAACCAGGCTGTCTACAGGCATCTCCCCTAAAATAGAACCTCTCCAAGAAAGGCTGAATTGCCCCTCAGTGACTCATCGCCCAGATGGGTGCAGCTATTTCTATCCAGCCTCCTCCAGACAGCAAGGAGCCTTGACCACACCCACCCCCGGGCCCTACCAGGTTCAGGCCCAGGCAGACAGGCCCAGCGGGCAAGGCCTCCCAAGGAGGATACTGGATACTGGCAAGGGGAACTCTCTGAACCCAGCAAGACTGCCCTCTCTGCCTTCCCCACAGACCACCAGGAGCTTGCTGGGACAAGCGTAGCCTCGGCCTCTTCCTGCAAACTCAGACGTCCTCATCCCTGCGTCAGGGGGATGGAGGCTGTCCACTGGGTAGGGAGAGATGGCTGTACACCCCAGCCCACCTGCGCACCTAGGCTGGGTCCACATAGCCAGGCTTATGGCAGACCCCCGGCCCTGAGACCAGTCACAGCGAGTCTTCCTCAACTGTACACAGTGCCTGTGGCTCCTTGGCCTCCTCCAGGCCCATACCCACCAGAATGAGAGGGAATGGCCTTCTTTGTGACAAGGAACCTTCTGTAGGTCCTGCTGTCCACAAACCTGACTGGCTTGTGATAGGAGTTGGGCAGGCCACTAGCTACAGACCTCTCATCTGAAGAGCCAGAGGTAGTTAAGGGGACTTCCCAGGGCTACCTTGTCAAGCTGACTCTTCTTGCCTGCAAGAAAGCCACCTCAGAGGGCTGGTGGGGGCCTCCACGGATGCCCGTGCGCCACAGCCCAGGAGGGGTCTGGGCAACAGCAGGGCTGGGGGGCTGGGTGCTGTGCAAGCCAAGAGGTGGTTTGGGGGTGGGGGAGCAGGAGCTACAGGAAAGTGGCTTCCCACAGAGAGCCACTGCCTGCTCTGCCAGGAGCCTGCTGGGCATGCAGAAAGGCAGGGCCTGTGGGCTCTGGGGCTCCACAAGGACTTAATCCCGGAGAAGGGCCCTTCCCAGCTGCTCCTTTACTTGGACTATTCAACAGGCAAAAGGGCAGCTAAGGTGGCTCTGCCCACCCGAGGCCTGGGGACCAGGCTGGGCTCTGTGAACCACACACTGAATGAGCAGCCAGCCGTGATCTGTCTGCAGTGGCTTCTCCCTGCTGCTGCCTCCATTGTGCTCTGGGACAGGAAGGGGAGTGGGAACAATTCTTAGGAGGGGTTTCTAGATCTTCCCCACCAGGATACCGGTGACACTGAAGCTTGCCACCTTGTGTTTTAACTTCAGAGGGTGGGATCACACTTTGCTTGCCAGGTATGGCCCCAAAGGATGCTGCCCAGGGTACCTGCTTCTACTCCAGGGCGGTCCCTGCCTCACTGCCACCTCCGTGGCTTCCAGGGAGCTCTGGAGGCCCCCAGCAGTCGCAGGCTCTCTTTCTGGCAGGTAAGGCTCCCCTTCCACCTCCCCAGCAAGGAAGGGGGTTGCAGACGTCACTGGGCCTGCCTTCCCGCAGAGCAGCGGCTTGCCCCGGAGGCGCAGCCTCCCTCCCGGGAGAGCAGGCATTCAGCGTGTCGGATCACTCTGCACTGACGTCGTAACTGATGCTGCATTCATGCCTTTTCCATTTTGGTACAAGTTGAAACATCACAGAAACAGCTTATAAATGAGCCCTCCCTGCTGGTACCAAAGCCAGACGTTCCTTGGAGGTCCAAACAGCCAGTGTTCCATGCTCTGCTGGGCTGAGTCACCAGCCAGGCCTCGATAGGAGGCACATATCCCACTGTGGCCCCTGGACAAGGTCAGGTTGGGGGAGAAGTCAGGCCCCACCCAGCATCCAATTTCCCCACCTTCGCCAACAATCTGCTTCG